CAAACATCCTCTAGGACCTAGTGTTAAAGTAAGCCAAATGACATATATACCCATACAATTCTTTCTTATCTAATAGAGTATCACTTGATTTACTCTCCTTCTGCAACATTTCTGTTTGGATTTACCTTGCTTTAAATATCTGGGTTGATGAAGTTTTCCAAATATGATTATTGTTATCTAACTACTTCTCTTCCACTCAAATCCAAATTTATGGACCTCCGCTAAATCCAATTTATCTGTGTCGAGATCACAGATAAATGCATGAATACCTCAGAATCCACCAGAAACTGCCAGATTATAAGCTTCACTTTGGAGACACAATCAGTGGTTGTATTAAATATTATGCTACTCAATCTGGAGGGTGATGAACAAAGTGGTTGCACCACCACAGTGATGGTAATTTTAGATTTCTCACATTCAAATAGGTTTCTATGTTCGCTGAGTAGGGCTGTGAAAATTTTGGGAAATCATTTCCATTAACCAGAGGGAAGAAAATGGACCAGAGCAGTGTTCTGTTTTGGCCAATCTTATCTACACGCTACCTACCAGCACGGCATTAAGCTTTGGAGGCAATAGTTCGATTTCATGTTCTAATACTTTAATATAGAAGCTTGGAGATCCAAGATTGGTCTTAACGATTGTGTCTCCAACCAATTTGGTGAGACCCAAGCTTGTCCTCCATGCCTCTAGGCAAGAGTTACACAAGCTGGAATGTATGGTTTACAGCTATTGAAGATTTTCTATAGCTTATGAAGAGATTAATTCGTGCTCGCGAACTGCATTGGGGAGAATGAAACAATAGTTTTGGGGTGGTTTTTATTTCGTCGGAGAGTACCCGCACCTGGAACTCATGGCTTGAGATTGGGAGAATGAGATTATTGCCAAGGTCAGGAGCGTACATCCCTTGCTCAATTTCCTGGTTGTGGACAATTCAGCATTGGATCCATGCAATCCGTTTGAAATGTTGCAAAAGGAGAGTGTCTGGAGTGCGTTGCCCTTCAAATATCTGTTTGATCCATGAGACAGTAGAAATTACCAAAATGCTGGCCGGTTGGCAAGGCATAATAGAAGTTCGCAAAAGTTTAAATCTGAGCCAAAAAAGTTACAAGCAGCTTTGTATGCGTTACGCAAGAAATTTATGGGCCAAAGGAAGCAATGCCCAGTATCCAGCGCCCAGATTCCTAGCGCCTCACCATGCTCAATGTTCCCGATGCCCATTCCCAAAGGGCACATACTTGAAGCAGCATCTTACCTCAAGAATCGATTCCTAACTGGGGCGTCCTAAAAAGATGAGCGGAAAATTCTTCCACTCTCCTGTCGAAGTGTGGCTGCGTGGCTGAAGCGCAGCGTCTAAGAAGATGCGACGCTCTCCAGTTCTATAACGCCGGGATGAAGCTGATCGATTCCTTCACTTACGCGGCTGCGCCCCAGCGAACACTCTCGCCCCGCCAGCACCAGCTGGTGCCAGTCGCGCCATTGAAGGCCACTGAAAGCGCTGCTGCTCGCGACGATGGAATCGCCGAGCAAGACTCGCATGCTGTGAAAGGAATTACTTTTTTCACGCCATTTTTGTCATCGCGCCGGCATATTCTCCTATTTTAAAAATAAGGAATTTCCAATAACTTTCGACCAGCCGCTGCCAAGTGTTTCAAGTTTCCACTAACAAGGCAATCTGACTTTGGACGGTGGTGGTAATAAATTTCCATGCTATGAAATTGCAGCTCATAGTCTGGAGAGTGATGAACAAAGTTATTCCATTCTTGCTACTCCACATTTTCACCACCACAGTGACGGTGATTTTCAATTTCTGACATTGATGATCATAGTTTTCCTTGTTTGCTGAGCAGGGCTGTGCAGATTTTATACAAACATGCAAGGGGTTTACCATTAATCAGCCTAAACAATATGGACCAGTCACCCTCACGGCAACGGTCTGTGAGGGCCAATCTTCCCCACACTCTACTAGCACGCCATTATTAACCTTTATGAGCAGCTCTTGGATTGAATGTAATGATGAGCTTACCTGCTTGTATAAGGAGTACAACTTGATTAAGGAGATCAAGCTTAACAACTGCGTCTCCAACGAACTCGGTGAGCTCCAAGCTTGTTATCCATGCCTCTAATACAGAAGCTGGAATGTACTGCTCTTGAAGAATAAAGGGAAATTGAGCCTAATCCGTGTGTTGCTCCCGTGTTAATCATCACTCCTGGACTCTCCCTCGCTTGGGGAGAATGAAACGATAGTTTCGGGGTAATGTTTTGGTGTTGTTGAGGCATGAGCAGTGTGTGGATAATGGACATACTTGCACCTGCATCAGTGTGTGGGCAATGCATGGTTTTTATTTCTCAAGTCGTCTCATTCTTTCAATGGCCGTGAACCAAGGTTCAGTTGCAAAAAAGTCCACGCATAGTTATCTTGTTGATATGATTTTTATAAATATTGCGAGGAATACCAAGCTAGAAAAGAAGAAACCTTCTTGCGCTCAAAGAAGGAATTTGGAGAGATTTCCGTGCTCTCTATCACTAACGCATTCTTTCCTCTTCGTTGTCGTTATCATCCTCGTTCCCCAGAATGCTAATTCCCGCACCTCTGCTCCATCCAGCACAAACAAATAAATAAACAAATGAAAGGCTTGAAATTCTCACCTTATCAGTCCTTAAAACCCTGCTTAATTCCATGGCCAGGACCAAAGGCAACGTTGGGTAATTGCTACTGGACTCCGCCTCACCCCCATCGATCGTTCTGGCCCTCTGCGAAGCTTGTTTGCACCAGCAACTGCGAAAAGTTCTGCATCAGCAGAAGGAAAAAGAAATCACGCGAGCGAGAGGAACTTACGCAAGGATAGTAAGAGTTGATGCTTGGAAAGCCACACTACTCTGCCATCCAAATCAAACAGAATCTATCCGGCGAACCCACAGTAGTGTATTGAACTGTAAAAATGAAGAGTTACACATGATTTAGCATGGAATCGAAAGTGGCCGGCATACCTGGTTATCATAAAAAAAATCCTCAGCATCGACTTTAACTTGCTGCTTTCACATATGCGACTAGCGCTCCTGTGGGAGAAAACGAAGTAGCTCTCTTAGCGACAAGAAATAAAAAGAGAGCTTACCCTCAGATAAAGCCAACACAGTCTCCGGTGATAGCGCAACGAGAGATTCGGTTCCAGCACCCACAAACAGCACCTGCATCACTGCAATCTCTCAAACTTAAGACACACCCAGCGGTGATACAGACACCTCGCATACAACCTCGGGGAGCAATGGCGCCGTCAACAGAATGCATGTCTTCCGGAACTGCGAGAACGTAGACGGAGTTCTTTCCATCTGATAGCCACAGTGTCCTGACCCCTGAGTAAAACGAGAGAAAAGTGAGGTATACGAACCAAAAGAGTCATTTTACCTCCTGTGTCCGTAGCACACGGAACGACCGCAAGAGAGGACACGCGAAATGGAACCTCAACAGACCTGGTGTCCACGCGCACGACAGCGCTCTTGGATGATCTCGCCCTGCCTTTCGCAAAAATGGACCTCTTAAAGCTCATCAGCTGAAGCTTTCCCGACGAATCAAGAGCCAGAAAAGCAGTCGCCGACAGAGGATGGATTGCCACCACCTGTTCCATACCGGTCAGTGCTACACTGATCGACTGCTGTGCTTCTCTGATCGCCTGCACAGCCGCCTCTTCGCAGTGTTTGAGTGACATAACACCGTTTTTCTGGTGATCTGCAAACACAGGATCGTCTCAGGATTAAGCTTGCACAATCTCCGTGACTTACTAGGTGATGACTTTGCTGCTCGGTGATCACAATCCTTATCACCGCACTTCCCAACTTCCGGCACAAATTCATCATCCAAGCTCGACGAGTCATCCTGGCTCAGGTCTCGGAAACCGTTCTTCTTCACCACCACTGAGTTGAAGAGGTACTTTTCGTACAAGCCATTCAAAGGAGCGTGAACTCGAGTAGCCGCCTGCTTGTTGTCATCGCCGCACGGAGGCGGAAGAGCAGCAACAGTAGAATCGATCGCTAACTTTTGCCTCGCACTCAAACTCCGGCCCTTGACGAGTGGCCGGAGAGGGAAGACGCGAACCCTTCCAATCTCGCCGATAAGCAAGTGCTGCATGGAGAGATGGATCGAGTAGACCGGAGCAGCACTGCAGTCGAGTAGCGCACAGCTGAGGAGGAGAAGCGAGCCACTAGAGTCGCCAGCTTTGGGATCCTGGAGCTTGGCAGCAAACAGCCAGACCTTGCCAGCCACGGGGGAGTGGAGGGCGATGAAGTTGACAGACGCGACCATCTTCACTCCCATATGGGGGATATCGAGCCGGGCAGCCATTCGCGGCGACGAAGAACCCCCAAAACCCCCTGCCTCCAGCGGCACCTGTCTCGTCGTGTCAATCGTGTCGCAGCACCACGCCCGGAGATCCGTGCACGATCCAGTCGTGCCAGGCGATGGCGACGCCACTAGGAAGAAGCTGTGATGGCGGCAAGGCGCGGGCGAGGAGAATTGGCCGAATTGAAGCGCGACGCCATCGATTGTGGGAGATCCGGCATGGCTGCCGCGTACCTGAGCTCGGAGGAAGCAAGCGTCGGAGCAGCCGGGCGCCTTGAGCCGCTTGTAGGATGGCCTGGAGGAGATCGGGGAGGAGGGATTTGAGCTCCCGGGATCGGCGAGGAGCGGCAGGAGGAGGCAAGAGGAGAGATTATCGGATAGAATGGCGGCAGCTACAGCCTTGTCGAAGGGCTCCAGCAGCAGCCTGGCCACGGAATTGGAGGGATCCACTACTCCAAGCCTGCACGCCCGCATCCCATTCCTTGTTGCAATCTAACTCACCCGGAAGAAGTGCGAGATGATGGAGGAGAGCAGCGAGACGAAGACGACGCCATTCATCATCGATCCAACGACAAACCCTAACCCTGTCCAATCGAAATTATTCCCCTCCCGAAGGGCGGGCATATTCCGTCGCCGTCTAGACGGAGGGATATTGCGAGGTCCGCTCTTTGCTTTGGCCCCTTGCGCCTAGAAATGGGGAGCTCCTCCGCCGAGGCCAGGGTTTCTGTGGATCGCGATTGCGAGTGCATCCATTTTCATTTCCGTTTTCCTTGCCATGCTGCTGCGCCGGGGAGAATGAAGCATCTCGTGAGCTTTAGTTCTCTCAATCGCTTGCTTCTTCTCAATCATGTCTTTGATCTCTATCACTGCCTGAAAGAGAGAAGCTCTTCGTTAGCGTAGCGAGTTTTGTTCCTGCTCGCCGATCACGCAGCAATGTATGCGTCGCCAAGGAGGATTTTGGTGGTCGTGGATGCTTCCAAGGATCAACTCATTTCTTCGCAAGCTCTCACTTGGACGCTCAATTCGTTTGCTCGGCCCGACGATGTGATCAGGCTGCTTGGTGTTCTTCTCCAGCCGGCCAAAACTTCGCAAGCAATGAGACGTGAGTTTTTTCTTTTCATGCTAGAAATCATTCTAAATTTCATGCTTGCTTTCTCGGCAGTGGGACACAAGTCCCGAGCTGATCTCGATCCAGATGTTATATCTGCTGCGAACGAGGACAACTTTGCTAAGCTCAAAGAAAATTCCCAGGCAAGCTTGCCTAGCTTTTCTATAGACAGTAATAAATCTTTTTTATTCTTGTCAAACAGGTTGCTCTGAGCTTCGCCATTATTCGAGGGTTTCAAGCGAGAAATGTATTACTCCGGGATGCAAAGGTTTTTGCTCCGACATGGATTGTTATGGACAGGTCGAGACGATGTGTTGATTTCAATCCTCGTGCATGCTAACTGAGCTCAACGCATTGCAGGTTTATGAAGAAGGAAGTTACATATATCAATGAGCTGCTGGAGTGTAACTTGGCAGTCATGGATAAGCACGGGAAAGGACGCGTCGTGAAACTCGTCACTCCCGATAAATGCGATGTGGACTCCAGTGATCTCTTTGAGCTAGAGGTTCCACTCGGTCTGACTAGCATGGACTCCTGCACCGACCACAAGCGCAAAGTGGATTCTTCGCCGGAAAACAACAATGCAAATCAGCGCAGCGCTGCTTCTGCAAACGCACCAGCTGTTAGTGGTGAAGCCACTGACAGTACTACATTCGCAAGTGAACTCGTGAAATGTAAGCTCCTGCTTGCTATACTTTCGATCATGTTTCTTACAGTTGATTACACAGCCAACGGCCAGGTGTCAACAACAGACTCCGGTTTCATTGCAGAAGAGTCTGCAGCTCTTGGATCAAGATCATTTCGATGCTTTCTGAAGCTCAGTCCCGATAAGAACTCACCGCAAGGTAGCATAGAGGCAGTCTCGGATCGGCCAAGCTGCGGCATGGTTCCTATTTCTGTACAGCCAGACCGCCGATCGGAGATGCTGGAGCTCTTAGGCGGGCCCAACGAGCTCGAAACCAAGCTTTTCGATAGTTATGTCGAGGAATCATCAATGTTGCTAGGAAGCAAGTTGCACCAAGAAGCCGGCGGCAACGAGGAAGCATTTTTAAAGGACGTGGTTAGTGATCTGGATCGTTGCTTCAGTGTGGTCGAGAACCATGAGGCCAAAGGAGCGTCAGGAAATCAAGGGGCAGCCCCGCTTTGTCATCTGTGCAACAACAAGTCACCACGTTTTGGAACGCAACCAATCGTGTTTTCGTTCAGTAAGATCGAAGAGGCGACGAATAAGTTCTCCAAGGAGAACTTGGTGGCCGAAGGCGGCTTTGGATTTGTCTACAAAGGCGTCCTCTCAGATGGGCAGCTGGTTGCTGTAAAGCAACACAAGCTCGCGAGCAGGCAGGGGGACAGGGAATTCAAGGCCGAAGTTGAAGTTCTTAGTAGTGCTCAACATCGAAATCTGGTAACTCTGATTGGTTACTGCACCGAAGGTGGCCGGAGAATCCTCGTTTACGAGTTCGTCTGCAATGGCTCGCTGAATAAACATCTCTCCAGAAGTAAGTCTTCGCCACTTTGTCTCGGATTCACGGTACTGATGATTCGTTTTGTTCTAGAGAATCCGAAGCCACTTGACTGGCCCTCAAGACAGAATATCGCCTTGGGAGCAGCCAGAGGGTTGCGTTACCTCCACGAAGAATGCCGCATCGGATGCATTGTTCATCGTGACGTGAGACCAAACAACATTCTTGTGACGCACGATTTCACTGCACTGGTAGGCCTCGAATCCTCGGTATTCTGCCCCAGACTAAACTCGTTTTGTGAAACTCGAAGGTGGGAGACTTTGGCCTTGCAAGATGGCAGGCACGTGGAGACACAGCGGAACAAACTCGCGTCATTGGCACGATCGGGTATGAAGTATCATCCGTTTTCATGTGTCTTCACGAGCTGATTTTCTCTTTTCCAAGGTACGTAGCTCCCGAGTATGCCGAGACAGGACAGATTACCGAAAAGGCAGATGTTTACTCCTTTGGATTGGTACTTCTAGAGATCATAACCGGCCGTCCTGCGTTTGATAGCTACCAGCAACCGGGGCAGCAGCATCTACCAGACTGGGTGAGTTTCTCTTTTTCCTCTCTTTTACTTAGACTTTGCCTGATAACGTTCACGGATTGTCAGGCAACACCTTTTCTGGCAGCACGCGCCGCCCATGAACTTTTAGACGAGAGAATCGACGAGTCCTCGGTCGACGAGTACGAGCTTATCAACATGGTGACGGCAGCCAGCCTTTGCATCCAAAAGGACCCGAGCAAAAGGCCCAAGATGACCCAGGTTTGTTCTTCCTTGGCTGTGACACTGTAGCTTATCCCGTTTGTTTCGTCAGGTGGTCAGGTATCTCGAAGGAGACGACAGGGAGACTACTCCATTGTCGCCTCTTGTCGACCACAATGCCAACTTGGAGCTCCTGGTGCCATCCAAGCCCGTCCCCCCGCGCACTTCTGTACAGTTCCTCCTTCCTATCTTTGACAAGATGCTCGAGGAAATCAAGCCCAGGGCCCCGAGGAGATCGAGCATTTCCTATGATGAGATGCTGTGAGAGCACTGGGAGAGCAAATCTTTGTACATAGTCGTGTACAAAACTTAATTTCATTATTTATAGCCTCTCATTCAATAACTTGGTTTGAATGCTATGATACACACCATTTCTACACTGATGATTTACAACGAAGTAAGCTGTCCAACGCTGTAAAATAGCAGCATACCTCTTGATGTTCGTGATAACGAATGGAGCCATCATTGGAGACCCAGCTCCTTCTTGAGTTTCGTTAGTAGCTCCTCGATATCGTCCATCTGTGACTCTGGAGAGCTTTGGCTCTTCGCTTCGCCCTCCTTTGAAGCGCTGCCGTTCGTTTCGCGCTGCTGCTGCTGCTGCTCTTGAGGAGGAGTGTCCACGTTAAGCTCCTTCTCGAGAAACTCGAGAAACTCTTCTCCAAGCTCCTATAAAACATTAAAAAAAAAAAAAAAGAGCGCGTCATCTTTTCATTCGGCGACGGGGGCTACTTACAGCAAGCTCTTCCCAGAGGCTCTTTGGTTGCGAATCCTTGGAAGTAGAATCCCTTTTCTGCTGGAACTCAGCTTGCAAATCCCGGAAAAAATCGTCTGCAGCACGAAAAGTTCACAACTTTAGTAGTTGCTTATCAATCCGAAAATGTCTAGTACCAAACGAGACACTCAAGTCTCTGAAAAAATCACCTGGAGCAGCCAGACATATCAAGAAAGAAGAGGAACGAGAGAAACATGTCACACACCTAAGCCATAGAAATCCTCTTCTTCCACTGCTCTCGAACTGGACCTGGAACGTCTCTCGCTCGATCGCTTGCTGGCTTGGTACTTTGCGCGCTTGGACGGATCAACCAGCGTTTGATACGCTTGCTTGATCCGCATAAACTTCTCCTGTGCATCGGGCTGGAGCCAAACAATGAAACAAACTGAGAAGAAAAAATTCCACTGGAGCTTACCTCTTTGTTAACGTCTGGATGGAGCTTGAGAGCGAGACGACGATAGGCGCGCTTGATTTCCTTCTCATCCGCCCCCGGTGCCACGCCCAGGATGTGATACAAGCTCTCTCCATTCGAAGAGCTCTTCCAATTCTTCGCCGCCGCCACTGCCACCAAAATGCGGCGCCTATCTCCACGCCAGCGCGGGCTAGCTGACGAATTCAGCTTCCGGAAGTGGCCGCGCCACGAAATCCATGTAGCATTTCCTAGCGGAGGAATGCCACACGCGCAATGCATGCCCCAGTCGCGCAAGCCCTAAAAACAGAGCTTTAGGGTTCTTGAGCGGGCGACGAAGAAGAAGAGGAAATGGCGGTGGAGAGCGCGATGTAGGATGATGAATTCCGCGGCTCCATTCCCAGGACGTGCTCAGCCGCATCGCCGGCGTGCTCGTCGCTGGATTGGACGCTGCTGGCCCCAAGGAGCGACATCCAGGCGAGCGGCTTTGGATAGAAGGGCATGATTTCGATGAGTTCTTGCGCGCGCTGGAGCTGCCCTGTCCGTCCCAGCAGATCGACCATGCATTCGTAGTGCTCGGCGATGGGCTGCATGCCGTGGTCCTCGATCATGGAGAGGAAGTAGTAGCGAGCGTCGCGGAGGAGGCCCGAGTGGCTGCAAGCGAACAAGATGCCCACGAATGCGATGGGGTCAGGGCAAATGCCCTCGCGGCGCATCGCCTGGAACCACTGCAGCGCTTGCGATCCTCGCCCCAGCTGCGCGTACGCCTCGATGAGCGCTGTCCAGCAATTCACACTCCGGATCTCCATCGCATCGAACACCGCCTGGGCGTCCTCCGCCGATCCACACTTGCCATACATGTGGATGAGCGCGTTGCCTACCGGGCTGGTGCCAACCTGGAAGCTTGCATCCACGATCCGGGCGTGGAACGAGCGCGCGAAGCCCAGCTGATCAGCCGATCCCGTGCTGGCGATCGCCGCCACGATGCTCGCGAATGTGCCCTCGCTCGGCTTGACACCCTCGAGATCCATCCTCCGGAGCAGCGCCACCGCCCGGGCGTGGCAGCCGTGGCTGTGCTCCGCCGCGATCATCGAGTTCCAGGCTATGGAGTCCTTGTGCTGGATCCGCTCGAACGCTCCCCGCGCATCCTCCAGCCTGCCGCAGCGGCTAAACATGTTGACGATGGTGGTGGCGAGGATAAGGTGATCGCCGCCGGCGGCGCCGCTGCTAGCGCCGCCGCCCAGCCGCTCCCCGAGCATGGCCTCGATCCGGGCGTGGATTAGCGCCGCCTGGGTGGGATCTCCGAGCACGCAGCCCGCGGCGGCGATTCTGGCCATGGTGGTCTCGTTTGGGCGGATGAGCCCCTCGTGATCCATCTGCCAGAGGAGGCGGAGCGCGGCGGCGGCGTGGCGGCGATCCTGGCGGGCGGCGTAGGCGGAGATGACAGCCGTCCAGGTGATGACGCTGCGTGATCGCAGTGGCATTTGATCGAACACCTCCCTGGCTTGATCCGGCGCGCCGCAGCGTCCATACATGGCGATGAGCGCATTGCCCACCGCTGGATCGAAGGAAGCGTCGAGGCCGGTGGCGGTCATCCGGGCTTGGAGCTGCGCCGCCAGCGCCACATCGCTCACCGCCTCCGCCAGCGTCGCCAGCGTGATCGCGTTGGGTTCCACGCCCTCCACGTCCATTCTCCGGAAGAGTGCCACCACGTCGCCCCCATAGCCCCGCTGCGCCAGCGCCGCCAGCATTGCGTTCCACGGCACTACCGATCGGTGGTCCTGATCCGGGTGGCGCTGGATCGCATCGAACACGCTCCACGCATCGTCGATTCCTTCGCCGCAGCGCCCATACATGCTGAGCAGCGCCGTTGCCACCACGCCATCGCCCTGGAGCTCCTTGGCCACGATCCGCCCGTGGATCTCTCGCCCGGCCTCCAATTCCTCCGGCGATCGCGAGTGGAGCGCGCCCAGGGCGTTGACGATGGCGATCTTGCCCGCGTCGCCGTCCATGGCAGCTCCCACGCGGTGGAAGATGTCGAGGGCCTCTCGGGGATGCCCGTTGAGGGCAAATGCCGCCATGAGGATGTTCCACGAGTGATTGTTCTTGGGCTGGATGAGATCGAAGACCGCCACCGCATCCTCCAGGCAGCCGCATTTGGCGTACATCTGGACGAGGAGATTGTAGAGGTAGGGCTGGCGATGGAAGCGGATCGTGTTCTTGAGGATGTGGGCGTGGAGGAGCTTCCCGGCGGCGAGGGCCCTGTCGGCGGCGCACTGGCGGAGGAGATTCCCCAGCGCCGCCGAGTCCAATTCATCCAGTTGCGGCGGTAGCGGTGGTGGCGGCGCTGGAGGAGCGGCGAGAGCCATGGATGTGGGAAGAGTGGACAGAAATTTATAAAGCTTCCAAGCTACATTCTCCCGCCCGCCATGTCATACACACGCTAACGGGGGTTTATAACCCCCGTGTGGAGGAGCCCTAAAATATCATTTTGGGTGTTTGCTGTGCCAGGGAAGAGGAGGAAGCCATGGCGCCCCGGGCGGCTATGGCGATGGCGATGGCGATGGCCAACAAAGAGAATGCGGCCTCCTGGAGACTTGAACATCCTCGATCCAGCCAACAATCTTGACGAAGAGGACGAGGACGACGACGAAGATCCTCCAATCTCGCGGCCGGCGCAGCGAGCCAACCGAGCTACGAGCGATCGATGGAGGAATCATCGCAAGGGTTTCCAGCGGCGGGCGGAGGCGATGGAGGCTTAGGGTTTGTGGCAGCGGTGTACATGGGTCAAGATCACATCGGCGAAGTGAGGGTGCGAGCAGAGTCGCCACTTCCTCCGCCGCTCCTCCTCCGCCCCAGGCCGCCGCCGCATTCGTCGTCATCGTCATCGCCACCACTCCTGGCGGAGTCGCAGTCGCAGCCGCAAGCGATGACGACAGCGACGGCGACGGCGACGACGTCAACGCTGGTCAGCGCGGCGACGACCATGACGGCCGCGACGACGAGCGGGAGTGTGGAGGTTGCTCGATCGGCGCTGGGATCGGGCATTCGCGTCGCCGCTCTCTCGCCGCCCAGCGAGCGATGCCATCCTCTGGTGGTGATCCATACGGTGTCCATGGATCCGGTGTGGTTGAAGCTGGATGATCGGCACGAGACTTCTTCCTCCTCGCCACCACCACCACCATCGACATCGCCACGGCAATTGGACGGAGATGGAGCTCGATTGTCGAGCCCACTGCGCCATCTCTACAAGACTTGCATCGAGGAAGCAAAGGTAGTAAAAGATCAAACGCAAAGACTTTGCGCGCCAATCTCCCTCTCTCTCTCTTCTTTGGTCGCTTTGTTTTGTTTGAAACTTCCATCCTCCAATCCTCCATCCTTTCGTTGACACAATGCTTGATCTCAATCCATCCCTCCCAGCGGCAATCACAAAGGGAGCGCGTCAATTCACTCTTCCCTCGAATCTTGGAGAAGATTCGTGGCATTTTCTCCTTTCCCTTTTGCTTCCCAGCTCGCGAGATGGTGGTGCTAATTCTCTCTATCGCTCTCGTGTGGCGCAGGCGGCTGTGGTACCCATGGATGGAAACGTGGAATTGCTCCTGGTGGCCGTGAAGAGCGAGACGAGCAGCAATGGGGAGCAAGAGGAGGATGGTTGCTTCTTCTGGGCGTTCGTGCTCCCGCGGGGCCTCTACGCGTCCTGCCTCGCCATGCTCAGCACAAGGTGCCTGGCCATGGTTCTGGATCTGGACGAGACGCTCATACTGGCCAACACGATGCGCTCCTTCGAGGACCGGATGGACGCGCTCAAGGCCCAGATCGACAAGCAGCGCATCCCGCTGCCCAACAAAGGCATGGACGCGCAGAAGCTCGCATGCCTCACCGCCGAGCTCAAGCGCTACTCGGACGACCGTGCGCTGCTCAAGCAGTTCGTGGATAGCGACTGCGTGATCGTGGACAACGGGAGGATCATCACGGCGCAGCTTGAGGAGGAGGTGATGAGACCAGTGATTCGAATTCCGGAGCGCAACATCATTCTCACCCGCGTCAACCCTGCCGTAAGCTAGAAACCATCCGGAAACTCGTTCTCACTTTCTTTTGTTCGTTGGCTTGATCCAGGTGAGAGATACGAGCGTTTTGGTGAGGATGAGGCCGGCATGGGAAGAGCTGCGAAACCACTTGGTGGCAAAAGATCGCAAGCGCTTTCAAGTCTACATTTGTACCATGTCGGAACGAGACTACGCAATGGAAATGTGGAGATTACTCGATCCAGGGGCGCGTCTCATTGAATCCACAGAGCTCCAGCGAAGACTGGTTTGTGTCAAAGCAGGTGAATCAGAGTTCTTTGTTTGTCTTGTCCTTCTTACAAGTTTCTTGACCACTTCTTTTCTTGTATAGGCTCGAAGAAATCTTTGTCAAGCATGTTTGAGCAGCTGCATTGCCATCCCAGGATGGCCATGGTGATTGATGATCGTCCCGAAGTTTGGGAGGACAAGGATCAGCCTCATGTTCATACTGTTCCTGCATTTTCTCCTTACTATGCACCACAAGCGGAGGTTGGATCACGGATTTTTTTTCGATCGATCTATGTTTACATGTCCTTTATTTTTTCTCTCTCTCTGTGCCATGCAGGCTAGTGCCCCGCTTCCAGTTTTGTGGATCGCACGGAATGTCGCATCGAATGTCCGGGCTGGTTTCTTCAAGTAAGTGGCGTTTTGCGAAGAAGGCTGTTGTGGCTAATCCAAATTGAAACATAGGTACTTTGACGAAGTCCTCCCGCAAAAGCTTTCTCAAGTTAATTTTGATACAAACGGGTTGACGCTGCCAGACCCTCCTTCCGCTGCGAATTACTTCACTATCGAGGTGAGCGACACTTACATTTTCCCTCCGGTTTCGAGTTTAAACACTAGCACTCCATGCAGATTGAAAACGTGATCCCAGAGAACAACAACTTTGTACCGAAATATTTCCCCGATGGTATCACGGGACCAGAGGTCGGGATGGCCTTGTCACGCAAGGTAAATCTTTGTGTGAAACAACGCTTGAAGTTGTAATTGTTGCTGCGTGTTTGTTTGATTTGTAGGATCTGCAAAATGGCCACGCACACCAAAATGGAGAGTTAGCGCCAGCAGCCGGTGGCTGGCTGGAAGCGGAGGACGAGGAACAAGCGCAGCCGGATTCACCATCAAACAAATCATGTGAAGCAAAAACTAGTGAAAAATGTCGGCAACAGGTATGTCATTCTCTTTTTCTTATGGTTGAGACGGATACGAACAATACTATATTTGTTGCAGGAGCATGCAAATGGCAATGACCCAGCAGTCTTAAAAGGTTGTTTTTGCACCGTTCTTCCTGGTTATAGCTGACGCATGGATTTTCAGATTTAGAGAGGCTAACTATTATCGCCAAAGCATTAGATCTTTCAGATCTCCTTGTAGCGCTCAGGGACTTTGGTGACAAATCTAAAACGCAAGTATGTGTTTTCGTTTCTTGCCTTCAACTTGTTTTAAACTGGCTGTCTCAGGTTGAATTCCGGTGTTCTATTCGGCCAGCTCAAGCACTACAATTCTCTGCTGAGGTAAGTTGTTGTTGTCTGCTGGTTTCTCAAGTCTCGAAGTGTCAAGCACTCTGGTTCTTCCTGTAGGTGTTTTGCGATGGAATTAGGATTGGTGGTGGTGAGGGAAAAACAAACAAGGAAGCCAAGACTCGGGCAGCTGAGGATGCTTTTAAGTACTTGACAAGTAAGTTTGATTTTTGCCAGTGCGGTTTTGAGCTGGTATCCTTTGGATGTGGCAGAGTCAAGCGACTTATTACGGCAGGATGAGGACGTAGGCAATGCCGACACTTCGCATTCCACGCCGAAAGGAAACCATGAGAAGAAGGCTCCAAGCTTCAACGCGGTTGCCGCACTGAGAGACATGGTAGGACAAAAATCTTTGGATTTCATGACCAAGTTCGTTGTTTTCTCTCTTTTAGCTTTATACTTTTTTCTTTTGTTTGAGTAGTGCAAAATCGAAGGATCCAAGGTTGAATACCTGGAGCGAGATTTTTCCAAGGGGATTTACATCTGCGAGGTGAGTGAGCGGTTTTGACAAAAAGCTGGATTGATGAAACAAGGTTGTGTTTCTAGGTGGAAGTTGCCGGGGAAGTTTTGGGGAAAGGCAGCGGGCCTGATTGGGAGTCCGCGAGACACGAGGTAGAAACAAACTTCAATGCATTTTCTCGGGCTTAAGCTCCTCTACAGGCTGCAGCGCAGGCTTTAAGAGCAGTGGCGGCTCCAAAAAGGAGTACACACACAAACACACACAAAAAGCGGTATAGTCCACCACCGGCAAGGTAATGCTTCCTTCCATGGGCAGCAAATTCTTGACTTCTAAGTGCTTGAGGCTTGGCCAGGCTAACGAAGCGAACAAGGAACGGTGATGCGTTGAGGCCACCTCCGGCACCATCGTCAACCAACCGAGCAAGCTCGAGAGAGAGAACCGCTTCTCCAAGAAGGCCGAATAGCTATTATAACCAGCGGAGTAGAAGAAGATGAGATTTTTATATCGACTTGCTTCCAACAAGTCCAAGCACTGTAAGTAGCTAACTTAAAACGACAAACGAGGAGTCCAGGAAGGTCTGTTCCTCGTGAATTTATCTCAAGTTTATTAAGGGCATAGGGCATTCTTTCTTTCGGCTTCTTCCAAGATGAAGGTGATGGTGGCAGTGAAGCGGGTCGTGGATTATGCTGTCAAGGTTCGAATCAAGGCGGACAAGGTACGCTGGATTTGCTGCCGGAAGTGTCGACTGATGGATGATTTTGCAGCGCAGAGTGGAGTGGAGACCTCGAACACAAAGATGTCGATGAATCCGTTTTGTGAGATTGCTGTGGAGGAGGCACTGCGGATCAAGGAAGCAGGCAGAGCGTCGGAGGTGGTGGTGGTGAGCATGGGAGGCGAGCAGTGCGTGGAGACTATACGTACTGGCTTGGCAATGGGTGCTGATCGAGGCCTTCATGTCATCACCCAGGATTCCTCCTCCTTATTTCCTTTGGCAGTCGCCAAGCTGCTCCAAGCGCTGGTGTCGTCCGAGCAGCCTCGTCTTCTCCTCCTGGGAAAGCAGGTTCTTCGTTTTTCTTTTCTTTGCACCCTTGATTGGAACTATAACTTTGTTCTTCTTTGAAGGCGATAGATGACGATTGTAATCAAACTGGACAGATGGTAGCCGGGCTCTTGGGATGGCCACAAGCCACATTCGCATCCAAGGTATCCAGTGTTTTGTGGAATTTCTCTTTTTCTCTCACAGTTACCATGATCGATTTGCAAAGGTTTCAGTAAGTGATGACAAGGAGAGTGTTTGCGTGGAGAGGGAAGTGGACGGAGGAATCGAGACGATCCAGTTGCAACTCCCAGCAGTCGTAACGTAGTCGCGTTTTCCCTTCGTGTTTGAGTGTGCTTGACGACTGATTCGTTCGTGGCAGGGCCGACTTGAGATTGAACACCCCGCGCTATGCGACCCTGCCCAACATCATGAAGGCTAAGAAGAAGAGCATCCAGAGAGTGACGCCGGAGGAGCTCAACGTTGTCATTGGCTCTGACTTGGAAGTGCTAGAGGTGACTGAGCCACCCAAGCGAAAGGCCGGTGTCATGGTCGCCTCCGTGGATGAACTCCTGGACAAGCTCAAGAACGAGGCTCGGGTGTTCTGAAAGGATCAATGAACTCCCTTCTATTTGACTGCTTCTTTTGTGGACAGTGTGCTAGAAAAACAAAAGAAAGAGTATGGAGGAGAGAAGAATCTGTTTGTCAACTTCCCACCAGCATTGTCTTTCGAAAGCCCAGCTGTGGCGCGGATCTTTGCGGCCTGGCACTGCGTTTGATCCCGTCATGCTGCTTTTGCCTGGCCGCGGGCAGTGATGATCTCCTGGGCATAGTCTTGCCGGCGTCGTGTGGATTCTTGTCACCCATGTAGATGGACACCTTTGTCTGACAACACGATCCCTCCACTTTGGTGAGCTTGGTCAGGACCCTCTCTAGAGAGCTGGCCAGTTCCATGGATAGCGCCTTTGCATCGTCCTCACTAGCGCTTGATCCCTGCGCTCCCATCCCATCGGGGAGCTTGTTCTTGTACACCAGCCTCCCGCTTAGTGTCGCGCTCGCAGACTCGAAATCCATCTCGAGTGTCATATGCTTGTGGTTGCCTGGCCGATCTCGTGCTGTTCTAGTTGTTGCTGCTGCTGGTGGTGTTACTGCTAGTGGTGGTGTTGCTGGAATGTTTGGCTTTGGTTTGGACGTTAAAGCTAGCCGAGGAACCTCAAGAACGGTCTTGGGCTTCTTCAAGCCTTGCAAGGCAAGCTCGGCGTCAAGCTGGACACCCGTACATTGCAAGATCCTGTCTCTCTTCGCCAGCAACTCTTTCCTGGCCGTGGCAGCGGCGGTAGTGGTGGTGGTGGCGGCGGTGCTACTCCCAGCCTTGGTTTTGGCCTTGGCAAGATCGAAAGGTGGCGCAGTCTGCACACCTCTGGACTTGGTGAGTACCTCGGCCCTCCGGCTCGGCCTCTCAAGCCCCTCCAAGAGAATGTCGATGAGGTCCCCGTGAAACGCGGTGAGGAACTCGGGCTTGAGGTTGAGCCGCGCTCCCCGGCGACGCATGACAATCGCGAGAGCCACAAACCCTTGTAAATCCAAACCGTTTCATTGTAACGGCATTGTTGCTGCCAGTGGTAGTGCTGGTAATGGTGGCGGTGGCGTAGGCAGCGGTGGCTCCTGGAACCAAGGATGCGCCAGTGCCGCGTTCGCGCTTATCCTCTTGTCCGGGTCGTAGGCCAGAAGCTGGGCCAGGAGATCTAGCCCCTTCTCCGATAGCATGGGCCTCCCCGCCTGCGCAGCCGGGTAGAGTATCCGGTCCCGGAGAGCGCTGAGCTTGTGTGCCGGGAAGATGAAGCCCGGCTTCTCCAGCTGCGCCGTCCACACCATCTTCTTGATCCGGCGCAGCTGGTCGATCTCCGAGGTGCCCTGGAAGAGCGTCTCGTTGAGGATGAGCTCCGCCATGATGCAGCCGAGCGACCACACGTCCACCGCCGCGGTGTAGTGGTACTGCTCCTCCTGGGTGCTGGCCAGCAGCTCGGGCGCGCGGTACCACATTGTCACCACCTTGTGCGTGTAGGCCTTGATGGGGCTGTCGTAGCGGCGGGCCATGCCGAAGTCGCAGATCTTGAGCTCGCCACCCGAGACTAGGATGTTGGACGGCTTGAGGTCGCGGTGGAGCACCCAGTTTGCGTGGAGGTAGGCCACCGCGTCCAGCAGCTGCTGCATCATATGCTTCACCACCGCGTGCTCCCACGGCTGCGGCAGCGCGGCCATCACGTCCTTGAGGTTCCGCTCGATGTACTCCATCACCATGAAGACGCTGTCCATGTCCTTGCCGATCACCACCTCGCGCACGTCCACGATGGCCGGGTGGCGCAGCGATATGAGCAGGTTGATCTCGCGCAGCGATGTGACCGGGAATCCCTCCGTCTCCTGGTTGTGCATCTTGATCTTCTTGAGCGCCACAATCTCCTCGGTGCGCTTGTCGCGAGCCTTGTACACCACACCGTAGGCGCCCTCCCCGAGCCGCCCCAGCTTCTCAAACTCGTCCACAATCCGGCACTTGCCGCAGGGCGAGGAGCACTTGACGTCCTGGACCTCGGGGGTGTGCGGCACGCCCTGCTCCAGATCGCCGTCATCATCCGGCTTCGCTAAACCGGCCTCGCTCGTCTCCGCCACGTCCACCACTTTCACCTCGCTCATCTCAGCCTCCTCATTCACCACTTCCTCCTCCAGATCTGCTACTTCTAGCGTTACCGCCGCTGCTACTTCTCCATCACTACAACTTACTGAAGCAGCACGCTCTTGCGAAGTAGTAGCAGGAGCTTGAGCTTGAGCACTAGTGAGTTGTTCCTCCAGTTGAAGAAGAGAAGTCGCCAAGGGTTTGCTGGGGCTTGGGCTTCGATGCCGCCTCCTGCTACCGCCGCCACTGCTGCTGGAATGGTGGTGAGAGTAAGGATGGTGCCGCCCATCACCATGGCTGTACCTGTGGGACTTGCGATGACGAGAGGACGTAGAACGCTCGTCCATAACCCAGCTCATACCAAAGGAAAAAGAGAGCCCTAAACTCTCATTTGTCCTTAAAGCTTCTACCTACCTGCAAGCAAAAAGGAATGTACCCATGTCTTTGGAATTGAAACTGAATGAAGAACAAAAGAAACCTCATCCTTGATGTTTCGTAGCTGCTCAGCCAGCTCCTCTTTTTTTTGGACTCCTGTCAATAGCATAGAAATCTCTTCTTCTTTTTCTTGTTTCAAGGAAAACAAACACAAATACCTTTGTTGGCGAGGTCCTCAATAGCTTTCGACGATCGAACTGCAAAACGCTGGAACTTAACACTGCCAAATAGAAGAAAAGGCGAAGAATAAGTGATGCTCGTCTATCCATTTCCTCTGCGCTACCTGTTCGACAGACGCTCTACAATCAGCTCATTTACAACATACTGCAGAGCTCGCTGAAAGATCCCGCTTCCCCTCATAGCCCCGGCTCAAAACCCCCACCACACTGGAACCCTAGGTAGAGTTCAGTTGCATTGGTTTTTAGAAAGCCTGCACACACTCCAAAGCGAGATGAGTGATGGAGGCGACCCTGCTACTCCGCCACCGCCACCACCGCAGCAGCCACCACCACCGCTCCAGCAAACACCACCAGTGAAGAAGAAACTGGTGCTAGTGATTGGAATGGTAGTCGCGATTCTGGCCGTGATGGTGAGTGCGCTTGTCAAGGATGACGAAGAAGGGCCGCTTGCAATGCCGGCTGTGGTGCGCCAGCATTTCCTGGGTGGCAAGTTTGTCAAGGTGGAGGTCGGGTGGAGGACGGTGAGAGTATTCGCGACCACGTCGGACCCGGATCAAGCTCAAGAGCTGGGCGATGGAGCACCGGTGGTGGTGTTGCTCCACGGGATGGGCAGCAGCTCTTTCATCTACAGGAAAGTGCAGCCATTGCTGGCGGCGGCGGGGTTTCGCGTCGTCGCCCTCGATCTTCCAGGGTCCGGGCTGTCGGACAAGTTCACGCTCGAGGAATGGAAGCGCGAGCTCGGGGGATTGGAGTGGCTGGCGGCCGCCGCTCGGGCGGTGGTGAAGGAGATCGCGGACAAGGGATTCCTGTGGAGGTTGGAGCAGATGTTCGAGACGGGTGCTCTTCCAGCTGCCGCCACTCGCGATATGCCCGCCGAGAAGGTTGAGATTGTCAAGTGGCCCGTGGGAGGAGACACTCAAGAGCAGGCACAGGCTCTCGCCCAGCTCCTCCGCTCTCTCCTCCCGATCCAAGATCTGGATCTCCATCTGGTTGCCCATGACACGGCCTCAGAGGTGGCGAGAGCTTACTCCGTTGCTACGGCTGCCTCGAGCATGAGAGTGCGCAGCGTCACCATTCTGGATTCGTCTCCGGCGAGGCCGGCGCTGCCCGTCTTGTTGCTGGGCAGCCCGGGAGTGGGATCTGCGTTGCTCCGCTCCACGCTCGCCTACGCGTGGCTCGTGAGGCGGTGCTGCATGCCGACGCTGCCAGTGGACGTCGCCCGGGCTCACGCGTTCTTGCTCCGGCGCGGGAATGGCAGAGCCGCGCTGCTGGAGATGGCGAGGATGGCCAACTCGAGCGTCACACCTTGGCGTGGTGCCGATATCGCAATGCAGCTCTTGTGGGCTTGCGGCTGGTCCGAGCAGTGGAAAACGGAAGGAGAGCGGGCTTCACAGATGCTGGCGCCGGGATCTTTGTTTCGGTGTCACACCGGCAGCCGATGGCCTCAGGTGTGTCTGTCACCATTTTTTCTTGCGTCCTCTCGTTGTTACTAACAAGTTCGCATATCTCAGGAGGATGTCCCTCAAGAAGTTGCCGATGCGATCAAGAATCTGGTCTCGTCAACCAAGTCAAAGACGTGCTCCATCCAAGCCGGAGATCCCCATGCATGCACGACGGCCAACTAAACACGTATAGATATCTTCTCCGTATTGAAAGCGGTACCGAGCAATGCTTGAGCTTGAACCAATGGGGGAGCCTCAAAAGCTTGTAAGAAAGCTCGCTTGGGTGTTACACATTCTTGTTCTTCTTCACTTTGGAGGGTGGCCACCGCCCTTTCTTG